TTTTATAAGGAGGAGGGGGAGGCAGCCCCTTTGGGTACCAGAATTGCAGGATTCCCAGCTCCCCAGAGGTTTAGCTGAAAACAGAGATTTCCTCACTCAACACAGTTAATATTTATTGGGTCCCTGCAGGTGCCACCACCTGTGCATTCATAAGGCAGATGTCAGGTTTCTGGGAGGGCCTGGGGAGAATGGCTAACAGAGAATAAATGGCCAGATGGAAGCTCACCTGTCTTTAGCTCTGCTATCCAATTAGGAAGAAGGCTCTGACTTCGAATGCAGACAGCTGCAGAGGCATGGGAATTCTTCCATAACAAAGAATAATTTCTTAATTATTTGATGAAGAGGAGCTGCTGATTAGTCCTATCTATGAAAGGATATTTGTGAATGAGCCAGGATCAGCACTTCCATTCAAAAGAGAATGGGGAGGAAATGGCAGAGAAGGCCTTACTGAGGATTTGAAAGTGACCTACTCCAAGCATAAAAATTATATGAAGCAACAGTGTAATGAACAGGTTGTGTTATAGGCCACTGGACAAGAGCTCCCAAGCACCCTGGGGTTGTCTACTTCAGCAGTGACACTTTTTGTGCCGTGGACCCCTTCTCAGAATAATGTCTTCGTATGCATAAACAAAATACAAAGGATTACAGAGAAAAACAATTATGTTGAAATACAGTTAACACAGGTTTTGTATTTTTTTTAAATCAAGTTCACAGACCCCTAGGTTAAGAATTCCTATTGTGAGTCAGAAGAGCTATGTCATTTTGGATGTCATTTATGTTTTCTGTGCCTCAGTTCCCTCATCTGTAATATGGGGAGAAAGTGGTTAAACTGTGATTTCCAAGGTGCTTTCCACCTCTGGCATGCTAAGAGATAGTAAAGTCTGTAACTTCTTGTTCAGGCTTTGAATCAATGAATGATAATATCTCCTATTTCTGTAGTGATTTAAGGTTTACAAAGCACTTTCCTCATAAGAGCCCTGTGAGATGAGCCTATGGGCAGGTGAGTGTGCAAGGACAGCTGGAGACAGCCAATTTGAATTCCTTACCCACCATTGTGCCTCTGGTAATTGAGTAATTCTTTTTCTGAGGTGCAGTGGGCACGTGGACTTTTACTGGTCCTTGTACGACTTCGTGATTGCTCTCCAGTCTTTGGCATCTGGCTACTTAGCTCAGTGAGTTAGAGCATGGCTTTTAAGAGGCCTTGGGCCTGATTACTTAGGGGACAATTAGTTTTGTTTGTTCCCACACCACAGGCTGCATCCCCAGTTGTTCTATACTTGGGTTCTGTTCATTGGTAGGAGAATAGAAATAAAGTGAAAATGTGGATATGGCTTAGTACAAAACCATCCCAGCTACTAGAGAAACAACAGAAAAATAATATCGTATCAATGGTAAGCCTATTCAGAGGACAGCAAACAGCATGGCCTGGAGACTTATGCCATATAAAGATCGAGTGAAGGAACTGGAGATATTTAACCTGGAGAAAGATGAGTAAGAGAGATGTGATAACTATCATGTAGGAAAGATGTAAAAAAGAAACTTAATTTGAAAAAGATTAATTTTAAATTAAATTTTCAGTTAATGAGTATTTTTGTTTAATTTTTCACGTAACAAAATCTATTTTCTCTCCTACCTCCTCATTGAAAAGAAAGAAAAATGAAACCTACGTAACAAATATGCATAATCATAAAGAAAATTCTAACAGAAAACTTCTTAGAGTTGTGCAAATGTGAAGGGAGGCTTAGAGAGGACAAATGACTGCTGGTCAGGGTTTGAGACAGAGTGAGAACTCAAGTTTTCCTGACTCCAAGTTCTAGTCCTCTATCCTCCATCTCAAGCTGCCTCCTAATGCTTAAACTTCAAAGTGCTTTCACATATGTGATCTCATATTGGTATTGTAACATTCCTATGAGTTAATAGGGCAGTCCCATTTTACAGAGACGACAAGATTTGCCCCAGGTCACCCAGCTGGTTTGGGGCAGAGCTAGAATGAGACCCCAGGTCTCCTCATCTATCCCTTTCTATAGCTGGTCTTGCAGTCTAAGAGTCTGGGCAGCCTTAGGTGATATCCCTTCTGGGTCCCCTGGGCATTGCCACCCCTACAGTTGAGTTGTCAGTGGGTCGTAATACCATTCTTTCTCCCCTGGCAAACAAGAAATCTAGTAGCCAGAGAGAAGGAGCTTGTTGTTTATTCCTGTACTGAAAAGAATTCTCTTTTACCCTCTGTGCACAACCCCTGTGAATGATTGACCTCCCTGGAAATAATGGGAGCTAGCCATGCATTTCCATTGGCTGAGAATGGGCCATTGTGACTTGGTGAGAATCAGATCAATAAGAGGAAGTCCAATATTGTGTGAAATGTTTCAGTGTTTCCTGTCTACAATGACCTCCCCCTCACCGTTCCCCCTATCCCGTAGCACTGGATTGTGCCCTTCTTTGTGCACTTGCCAAGTAATATTTTCTTTTTATTTTTAGGCAGTTGGGGTTAAGTGGCTTGCCCAGGGTCACACAGCTAGTAAGTGTCAGGAGTTTGGTCTGAGGCTGGATTTGAACTCAGGTCCTCCTGACTTCAGGGCCTGTGCTGTATCCACTGCTCCACCTCGCTGCCCCATTGCCAAGTAATATTGTGTATTTTATACTTGTCTATGTGTAAACCTTCTCTCCTTATTAGACAGCAATCTCCATGAGAGCAGGAACTGTATCTTATCTAAATTTTGTATCTTCCTCGGTGCCCATCCATGCACATACGTGCATGATGAAATACTTCTTGAATTGAATCAAAGAGCTGTCCATCAGGGTTTAAATCAGACAAAATGGGGGCAACTAGGTGGCTCAGTGGATAGAGCACTGGCCCTGAAGTCAGGAGGATCTGAGTTCAAATCCAGCCTCAGACACTTGCCACTTACTAGCTGTGTGACCCTGGGCAAATCACTTGACCCCAACTGCCTCACCAAAAAAAATAAATAAATAAAATTTAAAAATTAAGAATAAATCAGACAAAATCTCAAAGGGTTCAGAGTCAGTGTTTCCCCCTACTACAGGGGGAAAACAACCTTCCTCTTCTACCATATGGTGGCCACCTACTTCAGCTAGGCAACCCCATTTGCATCCTCTCTCCATTGGGCCTACCTCTGAGCCTTTCTTTGTACATGGAATTTCTCCCACCCCTTCCTCTCCATCACACTATGTCTTTGAGCTTTGTGAAGCCCTGATAGAATATTATTATAATGCAGCTTATCACTCCCCAAATTCAGGTAAACCCTATATTAAAACATGCTTTGGGCTCACACTGATGCTGCAGTCTGCTGCTCTGCTTTGGTTCGAACTCTGAAGATCAAGATTCACCTCCCAGGTTAACCTCATCTTACCTCTAACTCTAATCTTAACTCTTAACTCTAATCTTACCACCAGGCTGGTAACTCAACCCTTGACTAATATCACCTCCGTCAGCCTCCTCTCCCCTCTAATTGGAGGGCTGGAGGGTAGAGTAAAACTCCCAATGTCTTCCTTTACGGAGGTCAGAAACTGAACTTTTTGGCTCACTCCACTTTGCATCTTCTGGTCTGCCTGGTTTCCAGCTCTACAAAACAAAATGCCCCTTCCCCACGTACTCTCTAGTCTCCCCCCTCCCCAATTTTCCTGCCTCCTTTTGTGTGGTCTCTCCCCTCTCCCCATTAGATTGTCAGCTCCTTCAGGGCAGGCACTGCTGTTTTGTTTTTTTTATTAATTATATCCCCAATGCTTAGCCCAGTGCCTGGCATGTAGTAGGTGCTTAATAAATGTTTATTGGATTGGACTGGTTTAGTCAGTAAGTAGAATCAATAAACATTTATTAGATGTCTACTATGCAACAGACGCAGGGCTAAGTCCTGGAAATATAAAGAAAATTTTATACATTTTCTTTTAAAAATTGCCTTTCTCAAAACAACTCTTCAAGGTAGGTGGTGCTGGCATTATGACCCTCATTCTACAGATGAGGAGACAGAGGCCCAGAGTGGTAAATTGAAATACCCAAGGTCAGCCCCAAGAGACAAGCAGAGGTGGGTCTTGGACTCAGGTCTTCTGATCACTGGTCTAGTACTCTTTCTGCTGTGCCAAACTATCTTTCTTCTTCTTTTTAACTAACGTGTCTGTTATCTTTTTTGAAAGTTTTATTGACATGTTTTTTTAAACATGACAAACATTTCCAGATTACCACCTTTCTGTGCGAGCTCTCTTGTAACAAAATAAGACAGTTACGCAAAATTAACAATATAGTGACCTCATCTGAAAGAGGATGCAACTCTTCAAATCTGAAGGACCCCCCCCATTTTTAAAGTGTTAATTAACAGAAATCAAATTTCTCTCCCTCCTCCTCCCCAACTCCATTGGAAAAAAAAGAAAAGAAAAGCATATTCCCTCTTTGGCTGCATTAAAAAAATATGATGTCATTCTGCATCCTGAATCTATTACCTCTTTATTAGAAGGTGCATAGTAGGTTTTATCATTGGCCCTCTGCATGGATGGTCATTGTATGGACAGCACTTAACAGCTTTCCAAGTTGTTTATCCTTACAGTGGTGTTGCTATTGTATAAATTGTTCACCTGCTTCTGCTCATTTCATTCTTGATCAGTTTATAAAAGTTATTAAAATTGTTCATTTTTTATTATATTGATGTCATAGTATAGATTGTTCTGGTCTGGCTTGTTTCACTCTGAGTCAGTTTATATGTCTTTCTATGTTTCTTTGAAGTCATCTATTTCCTCATTTCTTAAAAGCATATTAATATTCCATAATATTCACATTCCATAATTGACAGGCATCTCTTAGTTTCCAGTTTTCTTTTGATATTTTGCCACCACAAAAAGATTCGCTATAAATATTTTTGTACATCAAAGAACTTTTCCTCCTTCTTTTGATCTCCTCTGGGTATAGGTGTAGTAGTGGTGTAGCTGAGCCAAATGACATGCACTGTTTAGTAACTTTTTATTTATAATTCCCAATTGTTTTCGATTCACAGGGCCACCAGTGCTGCATCAGAGGGTCTGTTTTCCCACAGTCCATCCAGCATTTATCACTTTCCCTTTTTTGTCATCTTTGCCAATCTGGTGGTGTGAGGTAAAAGTTCACAATTGTTTTAATTTGCATTTTTTTAACTAGTAGTGATGGGGAGTGAGATATCTATAGCATCATATGGCTATAGATAGCCTGGATTTTTTCCCTTGATAATTGCCTATTCCTATCCTTACGCAATTTATCAATGGAGAATGGCTCTTATTCTTAAACATTTGAATCTGTTCCTAATATATCTTGGAAATTAGACCTTTATCACAGAAACTTCCTGCAAAGATTTTCCCCCAGTATTGTTTGTGCAAAGCTTTTTAATGTTATGTAATCAAAATTAGCCATTTGATCTTCTGTGATCTTTTTTTAATTTTTTTTCAGCCAAAGACCAGATTTATTAGAACATTTGCCATATTGGCTGGTCTCTTAAGGAAATCTAAGCATTTGTATTGCTAATGCAAGTGGGCCAGTTCTTAAGAATCTGAGCACCTTAATGGAGGCAAGATGAATCTTATATACAGAAAGACTGTGGGAGTAATCCAGGAGTGGCCAAGTAGTCTGGGGTGATTGGAGAAGAGGTCTAAGGAGGATCTGGATGGGATGACCAGTAAGCTAGAGTGAACAGAACCAGTGGCTAGGTAGGATTAAGGGTGGGAAGCAGCCAGAGGCAATTGGGCAGTAACAAAACAGAACTGGGAGATTGGCCACAAGTCCAGGGGTTTAGATCCTAAAGACATGGTCTTTTCCTTTTAGGGGTTCAGATCGCATCCCCATCATTCCACCCTCAAACAAATGGGACACAAATTCTTTTGGGGTAAGGGGCAAAGGTCTTGGTTTCTGAAACTGCTTCCTGCTGGCAAGGGGTGTAGAGCTGTCCCTGCCTCGAGGGGGTCCAAAAGAGGAGGTTAATTGGAACCAAGCACAGGCTGCATCCAGGGGGTGAGGGAGGGACAATTGGCTGGTACCTGATGTTTGCTACCAACTGTAGGTGAATGGCCTGTAGTCTGGAAGACACAAATCTGACAGAAAAGACTGCAGAGCCCAGATATAGGGAGAAGTAAATGTATAAGAGCCCCATTAAAATAATTTGCATTTGACCTGCGGGATTAAATTTTTGCAAAAGTTTAAGTAACACTTTTACAAGTAGAAGTTTTCCATCCCTGGGTTCAATAGTTACACAAATGAATTTGCCAGAGACTGACTTTCACTTCAATTATCACTGAAATTTTCCTCCCCAAACCAAACTGAAGATGTTTCTGACTTAATTTCAGTTGTTTGGGGGTCTTGAATGACCACACGTTGAGGTCAAAACAGCAAGATCTCACACACTTGCATTGATCTTTTATTGACCACTTGCTCTGATTATTTGAAATTTACTATAAAAGGATAAAGCAGGGACTAGATTTAGGGCCAAATATTTCAGGATAAAACATCTTTAGCTGTTTGGATTCAGATAATTCAGTTTTCCAACCATGCAGTATTAAATCCACCTCATAGCCAGTCTCAGGAATAGCCAGGTGGGTAACATTCCTTTTCAAAGGAACACAGTGGGGAAACTGAATCAGGAGGCTTCCATCTTAGACTGAGGCTACAATTGTCCTCTCAGTTTTCCCAATGCAAATTTCCCACCTGTATCACATTCTCTCTGAGTAGCTTGTGGCATTTCTCTCAATGGTGGATTATTGACTATTGATTACGGATGGATTATGATCCATCAGACAACTCAAAATAAAATCACTTATGGTCTCATGAGCTTTGACCTCAAACAGAAATTTCACTAATCATAGCTTAAGGAAAACTTTTCCAGGATTTACATCTCAAATTTTAATTTGTCCTGGTATAAAAAGCCAATCATTAGAGATTATTTCTATACACTTGCAAATTCTCAGTAAACCATGACCCAAACAAGCTTTTTGGCAAATTTACACATTAAAACAATAACCAACAATAGCCAAATTGTTTTAGCTGTAACCAAATTATGAAAAGCTGCTTGACATAACTGATACAAAAAGTTCACCAATTTGAAACTTGAAACAAATCCATTACCAATCAGGTGACTTCAATCTTGTTAAATTTATTTCCAAATTACTTTACACAGAGAATCAACATCTCATCATTAACAGTTAAAATTGCAACTTTAAAAGAGCATGCTTACCTGATTTTGGAGGTTGAGCAGAATGTACTGAACCTGAGTGATGCTTCCAGGCAAAGGTTGCCCCAGGGCCCAAGGCCATTGCCAGTGGGGCCCACCCAGTAGCTGCTGCCCCTCCCCCCTCCTTCCTTTCACCAGGTGGGGGAGGAGGGTGAAACTCTCTTCTTCCATGAGAGGGATTAACAGATAACCTCTTGACTCAAGGGAAGTGAGTGGGAGAAGGGAGTGAAGGGATTGTAAGGAGGTGTTTCAAAACTCCTTAATGATTGATCACAAAACTTCCAGAATCTGTTAAAATGTTTTCAGCTCTTCTAACTTTTCCCTATAACCTCCAAGAAGGAGGATTCAGGGGTGTAGAGGGAAGGGAGTAAGTAAGCCTCAGGGAACCAAAAAGCACCTGCAGTTTTCCCAATTCCCTAGCGCCCAGAGAATTGACAGAATTGGGTATATGCTTCTGGATAGGGTGCCCGTCCTTGCCCTCTGTGCTTTGGTAGGTGTACACAGGTCCATAGCCTTGAACCAGTGGACCATGAGCCTGAGAGTGTTAGGCCAAGTGCGAGATAGCCTCTTAACTGTCTTCCCAAAAAGCACCTCCAAGCCTTCCTAGGTACTTGGAGTGTGACTCCAACTGCAGGACAAGAAAGGGTGGGGAGGCTTATATACCATCCACTCTTGGCTGGAGAAGAGCTTGGGGTTAAGGCAGCTTCCCTGTACGGGCCATTAAAATGTTGAGATTTAGGGGTCTAGGGGTGCTGGGACCCCAAAATCACAACACACAGGTCCTGCCCAAATGAATTTGACTCAAACCTTCTTTCAGCCAAAGACAAGATTCATTAGAACATCTGCCATATTGACCAGTCTCTTAAGGAATCTAAGCATTTGTATTGCTAATGCAAGCAGGCCAGATCTTAAGAATCTGAGCCTTCTATGATCTTCTTTATCCCTTATTTGGTCATGAACTTTTTTCTTGTCCATAGATCTCGGAGGTAATTTTTTTTCTATCATTCTCTAATTTGTTTATGATGCAGCCTTTTATATCTAGGTCCTGTATCTGTTTGGAGCTTATCTTGGTGTAAAGTGTTAGGTGACATACTGCTGTCCATTTTTCTCAGCAGTTTTTATCAAATAGTCAGTCCTTATCTTAGTAGCTGTGTGTTTATCAAATACTAGGCAACTGGATTAATTTGCTTTTATGTATTGTCCTTAATCTGTTCTACTAACTGATCTCTCTATATTTTAATCAGTACCAAATTCTCTTGAGAATTACTGCAGTGTAGTACAGTTTGAGATCTGGTACTTCTAGGCCTCCTTTATTCCACCTTTTTCTTTTCCATTATTTCCCTTGAGATTTTTTTTTTTTTGCTTTTAGGCAATTGGGGTTAAGTGACTTGCCCAGGGTCACACAGCTAGTAAGTGTTAAGTGTTTGGTCTGAGGCTGGATTTGAACTCAGGTCCTCCTGACTTCAGGGCCAGTGCTCTATCTACTGCGCCACCTAGCTGCCCCTTCCCTTGAGATTCTTGACCCTTTTTGCCTCCATAGGAATTCCATAATTTTTTTTCTAGTTCTACAAAGCAATCCTTTGGTAGTTTGGTATGGAATTGAATGACTAAATTGATTTCAGTAGTAGTAGCATTTTTATTGCATTGACTCATCCTACCCATGACCAATTAATATTTTTCCAATTATTTAGTTCTTTCTTTATTTCTGTAAACAGTGGTTTATAGCTGTGTTTATTTGGTTCTTGTATATATCTTGGGGGAGGAAGGGTAGACTCCCAAATATTTTCTACATTAAGAGCCAGACAGAATATAATTGGGTTCTAATATGGGTGTGAGTACTATCTTCTGACATCCCACCTGTCTGATACTGAGTTTTGCTAAATATCTTGTTATTAATTTATTCATTCAAATAAGCATTTATTAACCACCTATCATATGCAGGACACCGTGCTAGATGCTAAGGATACAAAGAGGAAGTGAAAACAGTCTGTCCTCAAGGAGTCTGCATTCTGCTGGGGGGATGTAGCACAGGCTCAAGGAACAAGAGCTAGAAGGGACCTCTAAAGTCATCCAACCCCCTCCCCTTATTTTCCACATAGACTTCAACAAAGAGAGTCTCAAGTTCAAATCCTGCCTCAGATACTTACTAGCCATGTGACCCTGGGTAGACCACTTAACCTCTCAACTGTAGGCTGCTGATAATAGGTACTGTAGATCAGGAAACAGGCCCATAGGGGTTAAGTGACTTGGCCCATGGTCATACAGGTAAAAGTAACAGAGTCAGGATCTGAACTCAAATCTTCTGACTCCAAGCCTGACACTCTTTCCACTACACATATAAATCCATAAGAGTGTACATGATAAATTTAGATAGGGAATCAAAAAAGGATTTGTGTAGGAAGTAATGCCTCACTTGAGCCTTGCAAGAAGCTAAAGATTCCCAGAGCAAAGGTAAGGAGAGATTGCATTCCAGGAGTGGGGAACAGCCAGGGCACAGACACTCAGGAGGGATAAAGAACGCCGAGCTCTCTCACCTGCTAGACTTTAAGCTTCTTGGGAAGATAGACGGGCTCCTCCTTTCCCCTCCCCTCCCCTCACTCCCTTTGACAAGGGTGCCGCAGAGGAGACATCAATTCAGATTGAACCAGATTGCCCAAGGACACTTTTTGTTGCTATCGCTGTTCAGTTGTTTTTCAGTCATGTCTGACTCTTCCTAACCCTCCTTTGGGGTTTTCTTAGCAAAGATACTGGCGTGGTTTGCCAATTCCTTCTCTGGCTCATTTGACAGGCAAGGAAACTGAGGTAAACAGGATTAAGACTGGCCCAGAGTCACACAGGTAGGAGTGTCTGAGGTCAGATTTGAACTCAGGACCTCCTGACTCCAGGCTGGGCACTCTATCCA